GGCAGGCAGCTCGAAAAGAAACTGATCACAGACATAAGGTAAACATCGCTGATAATGACTCTGGGCCTATAGCTGTGCCAGAGCAGGACAAGCATACTAACTATAACAAACTTTTAAAACAGGTCCAGGAGGCTAATCAAAATCCAGCTGTGTTCCTAAAGTGGCTTTCTAATCCTCGTGCCCCGAGAGCAGTTCCAGCTTCGTGTGCTGTGTCAGGCCGCTTCCCAGCCCCTCCCCCATGCGCCCTCCCAGCCCCTCCCTCCCCCATGTGCCATCGTTAATGCCACCTTACGCATTCCCGGGGGCAGTCCCAGCCGGCCCCTGCATGCTACATCCCGGCACTTGCCCCACCCCCATGCTAGGCGTGCTCTGCTGGTACACTGCGAAACAGCAGCTCAGCGGCTCTGCTCAGGCATGCTTTTTTTACAATTCAGCTCTGCTCAAGAGATGCTATTTTTTTATTACAATTCTCAAACCATTTAATCAAGGTTATTGGCCACCTGATAATTTTACCAGCCTTGTTTATCAATCAAAGCCTTCGCCAATCTCCTGTTTAACAACTAAGGTTATAAATTCCATTTTGCTGGGAACCACTAGCTCTATTTCCAGACAAGGGTTTTCTTCAAAGTTTTATTACTTGTCTTGGTTCATACTATTGCAAATAACAGGTTTAAAAAAACTAAATGTGTTCAAAATTTGACAGTATTAGATCAGTTTTGATAGATTTATTCATAAGATTGCTAAACCTTTACTGCAAAATGTTTCCATTAAAGCCTTTTTGGGCAGACTAAAGCTTTTTTATTAATTCTACATGTCACCCTATAAAAAAGCGATATGCCATCCAGATAAAGCCTGCTCTCTGATCTAAAATGCCAATATTAAACTCCTGTATACTTAATTCTACAGATACATTTTACTGTAGTTCAAATCCCAAACAAAAAGGCAAAACTTGACCTTCAAACCTTATAGAGATCTTAACATGGTTTTTCATATTTTTAACACTTGTGACACTTGGAGTTCTGAGGCAGGTAAACCTACACAAGGTGGAGCTGCCTGGCCCCCCATGGACCACGTTCAAATGCAGCAGAAGACATTGGGCAAGAAAATGCCCCATCCTGGTGTTCTTTGAGACCTTACTCCAGGGCTACTGGACTGTCCTAGCCACCAAAGAGTGGGTAAGTCATCCTAACTTCTAGCCCTCACAGAAAATGTTGACACTGCTAGATTCATCGCTGACAAAATTGCTGCTGAAGAATGAGGGGGCTCAGGGCCAGCAGTCCCCTTTGTGGGTGTCCATCTCGGAGTCCAAGTTCCACTAAAACTCTCAGGTAAGACATTTTCTATATTTGTGGACATAGAGGCCATATATACAGAGTTCTTTCTGAGTATTCAAGCTGCTATATATTAAGTCCTCAATCTCTATGATGGGGTATTGATGGTCAACCTATGCCGTTTACAAACAGGGCCTATTTTGTGCAGGTCCCAGTCCTAAATCTTAAAATGCTTTCACTCCCTTGCGGGAGTTTATGCAGTGAGTTTATGCAGGCTCACTTAGACACACTGAGGCCTCAACATCTTCCACCTGTTGTTGCTGGTGGACCCTTCCTCAGTGATATAAGACCACCCCCTTTCTTTCTTATTCACCAATTTGTCAGACAACCCTGGTCAAGACTGAAAAATACATTTTGTCTTCTCACTTTATTTATACTTTTTCAGGATACATAAAAGCCTTTCCCACAACCAGGGAAACTGCTGATACAACCAGGTTACAGCGACCCATGCCTAAATCAAAGTTGCTAGACTGCCATTCTGGTTTCTCATCACTCAAGCCCTAAATCTGATCATTCTGAGTGGTCATCTCATCTTCTGTCACCCACCCGTCTCCATTTCATGAAGGCCTTGCAGCCACAGTTAACAGGCTAAGTCATGTTTTGTTATCCACTTTGGTTCCTAATTTCTTACATTCTATTAATGATCATTTTTACAGCAGAACTCTTTAACAGTATTGCCTACAGACTCCAACGTCATGCATACCAGAGACAAGCCTTACCAACCTACCTCTTTTATGCTTTCAGATGGGGGAGTAATCACTTCTCATAACATCATTCCTCCTAATCCCACATTTAATTTTCAGAATTCTGCCTTACTGTGGAACATGTCTAAATCAAAAGCACCTTTCCCTCTACCTCACCTGGGTCCTTAAATATGACAGTGCCATGTCTCCTCATAACATCTTGTCTCTTTGTTTTTCCAGTCTGACATACGTGCATTCACCAGTGAAGTTGTCCTGGCCAAAACACCTGGCACCAGTGTCTACCTGGGCATCAACCTTCATCCTATCAACTCCCCTAGGCTCCAGTACAGTGCCCTCTGCCAGCAGGAAGTAGTTAAAGAGAGAAATCTTTACCCCTTTTCATAATAATAATCATAAGATGGGATATGAAAGGGTTTGGGCCCAGACAGGACACTGTAGCCAGGAAAGCCTCAACTGGAAGCAGGAAGCCCCTACCTGCCCCACCCCTAGGAATTTACCTGTAATGCCATCTTTCCGCCCCTGGAAATTTACATATGGTACCAAACCTAGGACCAATGGGCTACCTGTGCATCCCTAATGCCCACCTTAGGTTCCACCCCAAACTGAGGCTATTTACATGCCCCCACACCACGTGTCTGCCAGAGAGATCACCAGTCGCCAGAGGTGGGGGGTGCTGGTCATCTCTCTCCGTGTTCTCAGAATAAAGGCCACTTTTTATTTTATACTTCTTATCTTTTGGAAATATTTTTCATCTTTTGGAAATAATCCTAGCACCTACGTCATAGGAACAATCTCCAGGGGAAACTAGAGGTAGAACAGAGACCCCACTTTCTTCTGACCTGGCTTAATCAAACATAGACTGAAAAAGCAACAGATGGGGTATGTGTGACCATCAGGATGTCACTGAGCTCAAAAAGCTCCTTCAATTATCCCGTGGCACTTCTTCCCAAGTAGGAGATTCACATCTCGGCTCCTACTCAACAAAATGATTCAGGTAGAACATAGACAACTTTCTGGGTCATAATAGGATTATCAGAGCATCCCTCTGCATCGATGAAAATGATACCTGGCTAGTCAGAGATGGAAAAGTAGAGGTGGGACAAGGAAAGTACAGAGACTCAAGGGAAACTGAGAGGCCTCATGAACATGCTCCGCACCGATGAGGAGATGGATTTTTCTCCAGAGCTCTGTGAGACAGGAGCACACCCAGTATCCCGAGCGGGGTGCTGCTTCCCGACCTGCAGGTAAGCTATCAGGAACCCAACAGGAGGAGCAGGGATGAAAAAAGGACAAGAGACACAAGGGATGGAGACAAGACAGGATTCTGATCAATTCTCATTTATTGAAAGGCAATGTCACACATATAGGATATGGGGGAGTGAGGGGCTGAGGCTCTTGGTGTCAGCAGGTAGCTAGGCAACAGCAGGTGGTCTCAATTGACAGGGAAGAGCATGTGCTTCAGGGATATGGGCCAGGTGTGGAGCAAGAGAAACTTATCTTAGTACTAAAGAGAGCATGACTATGGGGGAAACAGCAGGGCGTGGAGAATCAGAAATTTATCTAACAACTACAAACTTATCTATAAGTTAGTACTTAAGATGGCTACAGGTTGTCATAAGATGGAGCCAGTGTTGTTATATAATGGAGGCCAGTCACAGGCTCCCCACAACCCAGGATGCCTGGTTGCAGGAAGCAGATGCTGCTGGGGAGGATGACTCCCCAGACCCCCTAGATTTTCCTTTTGTAGGATCCTGTCCCCTAAAGGACTCTGCACCCCACCAATGTAACTGAGGTGAGAGAAACAGCCACAAAGGTGAATGAAAAAGATGGTGGGCAACAATCACAGGTTCATGTCAACCAAAGACTCTGAGGAAACAGAAGCAGGAGGGCACCCAGCTGTGGAGAAGAGCAAGCTAATGAAATGAGAAGGGACCAAGAGAACAGGACCAGGAGCTCTCAGGCTAGAATGGAAGATCTGAACTCCGGCCTTACAAGGACTTCCAGAAAAGTTTCTTCCTATCTTCCAGCTGCTCACGAATTCTTCAAGGGAGAGTTAGTACATTATAACCAACAGCTCTAAATTTCCTATTTTTCAAGTTAATAAAATGGAGTTTTAACTACTTTGTCAGCTCATGGTGTAAGGTGGAAATAGTGGGCATGCCATTAGCCCCGACACTGGGCAGACTAACAGAGAAAGATCACTTAAGACAAGAGTTCAAGACCAGCCTGGGTAACATAGTGAAACCCTGCCCCACCCCACGAAAAAGTTAAGTATTTTGAAAATATTTTAAAAATTAGAGCTAAAAATTTTCTCCTTACAGCCTTCAAAAAGAACTTTTATAAGATCAAACTTTTGAAAATGAGAAAATACTACATACCTCTCGCAGTCATAAGTGACTTAGAAAAATATAAAATTATAGAAATCAATTAATCAGTGATGGACCTGATGTAATGGTAAGGCCAGTTACAAAGCATTCTGATAAGTAATACGCTTAGTGGTTTGCTGTACACTAAGAAACAAAACAGTACATACATGTAATCCTGGCTCATGGGAGGATGAAGCAGGAGAATCACCCTGAGTTCAAGGCCAGCCTGGACTATATACTTAAACCATGTCTCACAAAAAATATTAGGACGGAGTCTTATTGGAAGGCTGAAAGGAATTAGTTATGTACTAAGTCGGTGAGGCATATTTTTTACTTTCAAAATACCACTAGAGCACGTCTGAGGACAAATACGTGGGGTCTCCCATAGCAAGTAATTCTTGGATTCTCTGCATACCTCACTGGGGTGTCCTCTACTTTAACTCTGCTAAGAAGTTCATGGAGCCCACGAAGGTAAGGACTCAGCCCTAAAAGTCTGCCCTTCACCATGGTAGAAACGGATCAGAAGGAGAACCTCAGTTTACCCTCCAACCCCATCGGCTGGGGTGATTTGCAGGAATGACTGACAAAACACGGGGAAATACATTGCTTGCTGGCCAGTTTATTATAAAAGATACTGAAAAGGACACAAATGCATAACGAGATGAAAGTGTACATCGAGGAAGTTCAGACAAAGCTCGCAACCAGACAGTCTGTCCCCACAGAGGGCTGCATTCCTGTTTGTCCACCCAGAAGCTCCTGCAATCCAGTCCTTTCAGATTTTTGCTTATGGAAGTATGTAGACATGTTTGATGAAATCCTTGACTCTTGAGAATTAATAAACAACCTCCAGCCCTATCTTCGGCCTCAGTTACAGTCCTCTAATCTCAAAGTTATTTCCCCTGACAACCTGGCCCACCCTGGGGTTGTCTAGGAACTTTCCAAAAGTCACTTCATTAACATAAACTGAGAAGAAGTGAAAGACACACGTTATGAATAACAAAATGCCCTCCTTTCACCATTGTCAGGAAATTTTAAGAGTGGTAGAAGCTGTTTCAGGAAGTTGGAACCAAATACTCATTGGGCCAGTGTGATCTTTAATCATGATATGCCAAGTTGACTTGTGAAAGAACAGCCTAACAGGTTAGTGAGTTCCCTGGTGTGTCCCTAGATGATTGACAGGTAGGCCAGCAAACTGAGGGGCAGGGCCCAGCCCAGATGTGGGAGGCATTAACCAATAGCTCAGATGGAATAAAAAGGGAAAGAAGAAGGAAGAATACATTCAGAGGAGCTGCAATCTTCATCTTTGCCATCATATGTTCATCTCCATGTCCTTCAGGCTTGAAGCAGACTCCAATCTCCAACACAGGATCTTCAGCTTTCCAACAAACTCACACTGATGACTCTGGAGTGAGTTTCAGCATTCAACTACTGTGGATCCTGCAGCTCACTGGCACACTGACAGCCATTCTGAATTCTGCCACTTATGGCCTAACACACTGCTATTGGGACACTGACATTTCTGATCATGTGAGCCTCTATTTCTTATTACCTCACCAAAAATTGAGCACAGAAGGGCCTTCTGGACATTTCTGTGGCCATTAAACTTGAAAAAAAGAAAAACTTAGTAGGCCAGGCATTGTGACAAAAAACTCTAATCCCAGCTCCCATGAGGCTGAGGCAAGAGGATGAAAAGCTCAAGTCCTCTCTGGGCAAGTTAGCAATATCCTGTCTCAAAATAAAGCAGCAGCTAGTTGTGGCACAAGCCTGTAATGCCAGAACTGGGTAGGCTGAGGCAGGAAGATCACTGCAACTTTTATGATATGCTGACATTTCCCTTTTCAGTGTTGCTTCTGCACTTCTTCCTATTCGATTTCAGTGTCCTGAAGGTGTCCATTTTGTATTGCAAAAGAATATCACTGAGTTCAGGAGATGAAGAAAAGCTGTCTGTAGTAGTTGGGCATGTGGAGCACACCTGTAATCCCAACCCTCAGGAGGCTGAGGCAAGAGATTGCCATGAGTTTGAGGCCAGGGCAGGATATGTGATGAGTTCAAAGCTAGCCTGAACATGCAAGACTGTCTCAAAACACAAAATCGTCTTTAGTAAGACAATGTCCCATGTTCAAAAATGTTCAAAACAGTTATTTTTCACAAATTAAACATGAGGGCCCAGGATATAGCTCAGCAGCATAAGCACCTGCCTAGCAAGTATGAGGTTGTGAGTTCTGTCCCAAGTACCAAAAAATTAAAAAATCAAATTAAACATGCATTAATATTAGAAAATAAACAGAATGATTAGATTTCCCTAGAAACCTCAAAGGTGAAAACATTCTAAATTTTTAAAAGTATGCAAAACATACTTCATACAAAACAAACACATATACCACGGTATCCCTGTGAAAATCAACTGGTTGAAATGACTCCTGCCCAGGGAACACTCAGGATGCTCAGTATGTAAACAACCATACTGCCCACGTGACCCTCAGGATAACTTGTTTGGGGTTAACACAGAACAGCTCTCTCACTAGTAACAAAAATACACTAAGGTTTAGAAAAATAGGCATCACCCAAAAGAAAAAGCATAAGGATTTGAGTGTTAGATATCCCTCCTGTGAAACTTTGATTGCTCATTCACGTCCCTGGAAATGTATGGCTACCAAAGCTTCAGGTTTAGAGAAAATCTGCAGGAGATTGGGCCCCACCCTCAGCCTCATGGTCCACAAGCATTACTCAAGAAAAATAAAGTGAGCTCCACTTGGTTTTGCACAAAAATCCGGCCCTCAGTCCTTTTTCTATACAAACAATGGAGAACTCCATGAGAGACCTTTTAATACCTACTGCTATCTACAAGGACTGTGGTTAGGGTCAGCATCCCAAACCAGTTCCAGCAACAGTCCGCTATTATCTTCCTTATGGGCACACAAACAGTAACTGATGACTCTTAGACCACACACCCTGGAGTCTGAACCCACTGCAGGAAGCTAATGGGGCAGCCAGGCTTCATTCATGATCTTTTGCAAGAGGGAGCCCACAGACCCAGGAATAGCCAGAGGGCACAAAGACACCAGGGACTCTATGGGGTCACAGCCCCCAGGTCCCTGGAGAGTAAGGGAGAGTCTGCCCCTGGTGCAACTTCACCCTCCTCAGAGCCTGAGCCCAGTCCTTCCCCAGAGGACTTCAGGGTCTCCTTCAAAGAAGGACAACTGTTGTGAAGGGCTGCAGGGTGCCCCAAAGAATCACTCTCAGAGGGGCAGATGGTCAGGGACACAGTTCCACATTTAACACTGAAGTATGGAAAGAGAGTCCCAGAAAAGGGAGCCTGTGGGAAAGAGAACATGTGGGACCCCGCAGTCATGTCATAGAAGGAGACGTCCCCTTCACTGTAGTCCAGGAAAACCCCCACCCTCCAGAAGACCTTAGATGGCTCCGAGGGAACCACAGTATCGGATTTAACGTAGGTGAAGTGTCCAGTTTCCACCCATCTCACAACCCAGAACCCCTTGTCCACCAACCCTTGATACCAGCCTGCCCTGTTGGCATCTTCCTTGCACACCCCCAGGGCCCACTCGCCTTTCTCTCCACTCATAATCTCCACCTCCCAGCACCACCTTCCTGCTGCGATGCCCTCATGGCCCAACACGCTGTAAAGATCATCCCCACCGGGGTGCTCGAAGGTGAGCCTTGTGTTTCCATGAGAGATGCTGATGTGTCCACGGGCAGATCCTGGATCCAGAGTGACAGACACTGGAGAGAGAGAGTTGTCAATCACCCAAGGCCCCTCCCTCCTCAAAATAAGGCACACAGCCAACCCCAAGTCACACCTGTCACAGCCACTTGGCTACCAGAGGGAGGGGAGGCCAAGAACATTAACTGCCACCCGCCCCACACGAATGACGATACCAAAATTTGTATCACCATAGAGAACGTGAAGGGAGGCCAGCAGCCCTGGGCACAGCGAGGAGTGCAAAAAGAAAAAGAAAAAAAAAAGCACAAAATCACTCACAAGCCTGGAACTGTTCCTTCCGCCAGTCTACAAGAGAAGCACACATTTCAGTCAGGGATCTTAAGACGGCTGGAAACACTCAAGCTCTGAGACACAGGGCGGTGAGAGCAGCGCAGAAACGGTTTGGAAACATTGTCTGCGGTGAGCACTTCTCACTCACACACATCCTGTTGCAGCCTCTCCAACAAGACTGTGCCCTAAAACTTACCCTCCCATCTCTGGGAGGCTGAGGCAGGAGGGCTCCCAGCACAGGGGACCTGCACAACTTACACACATGCAAGACCGTCTCAGAATGAAAACTGTTTTTAAAGCGCTGGGGAAGTACTCAGTGAAGGCTCAGGGCTCAACACCCAGGGGCGAGGGGGACTTAACACTGGGACCCAGATGCGGGCCACAGCCCTGTGTGGAAAAGTCAGTGCCCAGATTTCACTATCAAATGATGCCTTCTCAGGTATAGTCACCTTGGAACGATGGTATTCTTGTGATATGATTATAGATATCAAATCTTTCAAGACCTCCATTTCTCCTCATGAAGAACTGGCTGAGTTAAATGTTTAAGATGACTGGAAAGCATTTGTGGAGGGAGCTCAGGATACACGATCACAAAAGTTTTGCCCAGTTAGGAATCAGTGGAGAGGATTCTAGGATTGGAGAGAAAGAACCTCAGAGCAGGAAAGAGATACACCAGTGAGAGAGCAGATGTGAGTGACTGCCCATTTCCCCAGCCAGTGGGAGCAAAAACATCCCAGTAGATGTTGGTGAATCCAAAAGCAGGGACCCGAGCATTTGCCTCCCCCAAGAATTCCCAGAAGAGCTTTAAAGCTTCCAGGACAACCCTCAGCATGATGGCATCCCAAGTATGTCCATTTCAAGCTGCAAAAAGCATAAATGTGCTAACTGTACAGGAAGAGGGCTTGAAAAATGTGATGGAGAAAGAGGTCTGGACGCTAGGAAATGAGCCTGCGCTACTTGGGTGAGCCCAAACTAATCATGTGAACCTGCAAAAGCAGACCTTGCTTGGCAGTGGTCAGAGGAACAGTTGTCATCAGAGAAACGGGGTGCGTCACTCTGCCTTGTGGGTTTGGAAGATGGAAGAAAAATGGAACAGCTCTAGAAGCAGGAAAAGACAAGAGACCCAAGAAAGGAGCACAGTGCGGGTTATATGATGAGTTCAAGATGAGCCTGATGGCCATACTGAGACCATGTCTCAAAATTAAAACACCAGAGGAGCAGCAGGAAATGAGAAAACAGAAGAACTGGGCCTTGAGGGGAAGAGTTTAGGGTAAAAGGCAAACAGTACCAAGGACCTGAGTCCTTAGTCAAGGTGGATATCTTGTTTGCTGGTTGGTTTGTTGGTGGATTGGTTGCTTGGTTTTGTGAGACAGGGTCTCCCTACATAGCTCAGGCTGGCCTTGAACTCACTGTATAGCCGGGTTGGCCTGGAACTTACAGTCATCCTCCCACAAAACCCTCCCCAGTGCTGGGATGACGGGCATGCACCTCCACGCCCCAATCAAATTTGATTTCTTAAACCTTCTGGGACCAACAGTGCCTCCCCTATGGTCATCAGCTGCTCTGCTCAGTCTTTGAGGGCCTCATTATCAGTGGAACAAGTTTCAGCTGGTGTTGCTAAAGCTAGCATTGACCTACAGCACAGGAGGGGGCCAGCGGGGACAGATCTATAACCCCAGCCATACTCCCATCTGGAATTGGGAGTCCCTGTGGCTCACAGGAAGGCTGCCGCAGTGACCCACAGAACACCCAGCTCTCCTGGGCAGAGGCTCTGACAGGAAAGAAGCACCACAGAGGCCGGGAGGTCAGGCCAGAGGGAGGGTCAGCATCACTTACCTGGGTACAGCAGTGCCTTCCTCCAGGCTGGAAAGGAACACACCCTGGTTATACACCAGCCACAAGCCTCTCAGCAGGGGCCACGTGGCCCTGCTCCCCTACATTCTACAGGTGACAAAAACCCCAGGAGGGGACAGGCCAAAGGAGAAGCCTCCTCCGTGTGAGACCAAGCAGGGTATCTTGGGAGATTCCATGGACACAGAGGAGAAAGCCGCCTCACAGGCTGAGGCCTCCCCTGTCACTCAGCTGTGTGACTTTCAGTTGTTGGACAGCTTTCTGTGTCTCAGAAGCAAAAGCCAGAACTCACATCCTATCTATATTGAGTTTTCTAGTACGAATCATAACTGTATAAGGTGCGATGATACTCTAGGGAACATAACACAGTATTCTGTAATTGTCAGAAGCATTATTAACTCAGGTTTTCTTTGGCAAACATGTATTTGGGGAGCTATCAAAAATAAGGAAGGAAGGGCTGGGGTTTAGCTCATCAGCATAAGTGCCTACTTGGCAAATGCAAGATCATGAATTCAATCCCCAGTACCAAAAAATAAGGAAGGATTGAATGACAGCAATGTGAGGGGAGTTCTTCGGTAAAGACCCCAAACTTTCCCAGGTGAAATATTTCTAGGGCTAAGCTTCACTACTGGAGGCAGCTCTGAGTTCAGCTCATCAGTTCAGCAGCCCAGCCCTGTCCCTGTCACATTCACTGGGACATTCAGGGCCTCTGAGGACAAACACCCTGGACTGTGATTTGGGAGGAACCACTCATTTATACTGATCCAGTAATGAGACCTCAGGGTCTGTCTCTGGGCTTCCAGGTGCAGAGGAAGGGCTACCTATGTTGAAAAATATTAAGCCAATAATATGGAGCACAGAGTGGGGTCAAGATAAGAAGCAGAGTGTAGGACAGACCTCAGGATGACCACAGTAGCCAGCCCCAAAGTCTGGGCAGTAAAGAGCACCCAGATGGGGAAGAGCCACCCAGCAGGTTCCTGCCTCCCAGCAGCCTCCCCTCAGCCCTCAGGGAAGAGCATCTACACATCTGTGCCTACACAGAAACAAGGAGAGGGGATCCCTGAGCACAGGTGAAATGTGGAGCCCCTGGACCCAGGAGAGTCACTTACCAGCCTTGTAAGCTGCCTTCCTCTGACCTGAAAAGCAACACATCCTGAGTAGACAGGGGGAACCAGGACGTCTGCCGCCAAGGGACACGGTAAGGTCAGGGGGGCAGGACTTACCCAGCTCTGCCTGGAGCTCATCTGAAAGTGTGGGGAAAAGAACGTGAGCTCCCGCTACGAAGGGAGGGAAGACTGTGTATCTGAAAAACCCACCACAAAATTATTTTGTTCCCTAAAACTTTTACTGCCAGACCCACACAAGACCCCACAGCACCAGCTGTCCTCGCACACCTCTCGGGCCACCCTGGCTGGGCCCAGGTCTCAGGGCAGCTGGATCCACAGACCCTGCCCTGTCACCTTGTCCCAGGCACACCCAGCTCTGACCTTGCCCAGCCTTGCCCACCCTGATTACCCTTTGCCTTCTGTGCCTGCTCTTTTATCCTCCTATCCTCCTCCTTAGCCAGCCTCAGATTCTTCTGTGTCTGCTGTGCTCGCAGCTTTACAGAATGTTCTCTGTATAGAAAATAGCCAGCCCCAAAGAGTAGGAGCCCCATCACAGTCAGGCTCACAGCAAACGCTGGCTTCCAGGGAGAGGCCTGTGGGAAGAAGGGCTCTGTGGCCCAGGCAGAGACAGTCAGGGGCACAGCCCAGGACAGCCAGCCCAGCACACTTGGGGTCACGCCTCCCTCCCTAGATGTGCTGGGGCGGGAGCAGCACTGACCTGGGATGAAAATGGCCATGGCCTTCTGCTGGCCCAGGACGGGGTTGAGGACGGAGCAGCTCACATTCCCCACAGAGGCCTCTCTCACCACCACGGTGGCCTCCACGCTGAAGAGCAGGTCAGCATCTTGCGTGTGGGCCTCAGAGAACGCCAAGATCTTCTTCCCACTGAGGTCTCGCCACTGAACCTGGGGCTTTGGGAACCACCCCGAGGCCCTGCATACCACACGGACGCCATCCTCTTCCAGGCCCTGGATGTGCACTTGAGGGGCAGAGCCCACCCCTGCAGGAGAGGAAATGTGGGTGCCCTGCAGGCCAGCATGACACCCCGGGAGTGTCACACAACTCCAAGGAACGCCTTCTACCTCACACCTCTGGGGTCCTACTGGAAAGGGACCTCTGCATGGGTCAGCCTACAGGCGGTGCCACAGGGAACAGAGGGCCGGAGCACAGGAACACTAGAGGGCACAGAGGACAGGGGCCTCTTCCCCAACCACGAGGCCTGAGGAAACAGCAGGGATTTGGCCCCAAGGCTCCATCCATGAACCTCCTGGCTTCTCACCTCACACATTCTTCTGGGACACCTGCCTCCACACCTGCTGCCCAAAACACTTCAAAATTACATTCAGGGGCCGCTTCTCTTTAGTTCTCTACTCTTCTATCCGGGTTAATATCAATTTTCTCCACCAAGGTTCCTCATTTACACCTTCAGCTCCAATTTCTAGAACTAATCTGATAATGTTGACCTACCTGTGGTAAGCACAGTAAAAAATATCCCAAATTCTCCAGTTTTAGCATCCAGCTCCCCTCTTCCACACACTTTGCACTGCCTTTATGTTCCTGCCTGAGGTCTCAGTCTGGTGACTCGATTTGGCCATTAGCCCATGTGATGCTGACAGAGGCTGATTAGGGTTTGGATCTCCCTCTATGATGTCTGTGGCCAGGGAAATCTTGTGCTATTCCCTGGAGAAACCCATCTAATGGAGTAACTGACACCTGCCCAGGATGGGGTTCCAGTTAAAGCTGTGGAAGGTCAGCCAACAGCCAGTCAAACACCAGAAATGTGAATGGACCAAGTCACACTCCACATGGCCTCCTATTGTGCTGACCATGAATAAAAAGAAACATTTTTTAATTCTCTGCATTGAAAATAAGAAAGAATTCTTGTCCTCTCCTTACTTATATTGCACGTTCCTAGGCAGAATTATAATGTCAAATAAATTCCTTATCTCCTTGAAATGTGTGTGCTAATTTTTAACACTGGAGCTATATTTTGTCCACATTATGACCCAGAGACATCCCAAGGACCTGGAAGCCATCACCTAGCAATGTAAAACACTAGGAGGAAACAACCCCGCGACTCCTTTCGGGGGAAGCTGCAAAACTACTTCCTGTCACAAAGATATGAAGTAGTTTGTTTATTTTTTAAAAAGTTTGTTTCATGCCAAGTATGGCTCACTAGATAACACAGATGGTCGCTCCAATTACCAAGTGAGTGTAGGGTGACATACAAGTGACAAATTACACTTCAAGCTCCCTTATTTGAGGATTACTATAATAAGTAGGTTGTACATGCTTGGCTATAAAACAAAAAAAGTGAGATTTCTTTCTGGTTTATTTGCAATCCCTTAGTAGACTCCCTAGGATACATATCACATTCTGGTTTGATCCTTACTCAATTAAGAGAAGCATTTTCTTTACTATCTTTCTGAAGAGGATTTTTGGGGTGGGAAAAAGCTCTTTTAAAATCTACTTCTTCAAAAGCACCAAAGATACACTAAATCCAGGTTCCATTAGCCAAATCTGGCCAGATTAGTTGTGCTCCCCTAACACCCGAATTAATCCAGTATTTACTGCCGCAGGCCACTGCTATGACTTGGATCTAAACTGCTCCCCTAAAGTCTCAGGGGGCAGAGACAGGGCTTTCTGAGGGTGACTGTAGCATAGAGCAATATCACAATCAGCGAGTTAATCAAAGGTGACTGCAGAGCTGGCTGTGCTGGGAGGAGGGAGGGACTGGACAGGAAGGAGAGTCTCGGGGGCCAGAGGCAGAAGCAGGGATTCTTTTCCCCTTCTGGCTCTCTCTCCTGGTTGTCATGGTTTGACCTGCATTCCTCTGCCATGATGATGCTTCTGCCTTGTATTCAGCCAGCCAAGACTAAAGGATCTGAAACTGTGAACCAACACAAATCCCTCCATCAACTTCACTGTGTCATGTATTTTGTCCTAGAAACAAAGTGACTATAAGAGAATGGGTATTTGTTATTCAGCATTATTACAAAATTGATACATAATTATCAATATTCCTGCCACTAAAGAGCAAATAGCCAAAACACACAACCCCAGGAGTCTCTGTATTTCCTTTTCCCCCCTCTAACCTCTGCCCCAAATCTACCAGTTCAGCCTGAGGTAGGATGGAAGAAACAACTATAAATAGAAAGGAGACAACAAAAATTGTAATAGTAAAATTGTACTCTTTAAGAAAAACTGAAGCTTCAGGACACAAAAGTTATCCAAGCTTTTTTCTCTTCCAGGAAATCTCTCTAAGGGCCTTAAAGACAACAAAGGCTTCAGCTGGGACCCAGGCTCCCTCCTGCCAGCCCCGCCTGGGAGGACCCCTCAGGAAGCTCCTTGCTTCTCACTACACTTCCTAAAAGCACTTTTTCCATGATGGAAGTCAGCAAACCTGAAACCTGCCCATGCCTGAGGTGACTCAGAGTTCCCTGTTTCTCCTTTGGGGCCTTCCTTGGACGGGGCCCAGTGATAAATCAATTTCCAAAACCTCTGCATCTAAACCCTCCTCTCCCAGCCCGCCACTGGCTGAGGGCAGGCAGGTTCTTCCTCCCCCACGTCCCTCTCAGGGTTCTCCCCAGACTCTGCCACCCATAGCCCTCAGCCCCACACTCAGCCCCAAAGATCACGGGTTAACTGTGGTCGTCATGGGGAGCACATCAGGTGGCACCTCCACGGAACTCCAGGCTGTTTGGAACTTTATCTGCTGAACTCATGTGTCACCTCCGGAGTCTGCACCTACCACCTTGTGCTGATGTGGGCAGTGTTGATCCAGAAACTGCCCTTTCTTCCAGTGCTGTCACTTCATGTCACCTTCCGACCAATCGTGACAGCCTCATTTATGGAACACGTCAGCCATGGTCCTGGCTCAAGGATTTCACGATGGTACTTCCCCTGCATGAAACTCGGGGTCCTGGATACCCACATATCCAAACACTCACTTGCTGGGAACCGCACTCCAGTTGTGAGCAAAACCCTCCTGAGCCCGTGTGCTATGGCACATACGACCCAGCCCACATTTCTCCACTCGGTCTGCTGTTTTAACACCTTGTCACCCTCTAACAGCTTCTACCAATTAACTTAGTATGATTTTTCAGCCTCTTACTCTGAAATACAAAATTAATAGAGTTGGAATTTCTGCTCCACTGATGGACTACTGGTGCATAGAACAAGGACACACAGGAGGAGCTCCTATATGCAGCACTGGTATCAAATAAATCAACAAGTGGATGAAGCATCTATTCATCATTTACAAAATCCCAGTTTAATTTAAATACCCCTGACAATCCTCTGGAACCCAGTATCCCCAAGGTCCCTGCAATAGAAATCATATAACCCACCTGCCACCCGCAGTTCCAAGCTGGCCTCTTCAAAGAAGCTTCCCATTTTGAAGAAGCAGTTATACATCCCATTGTCAGAAACCTGGACCTTGTGGATTTTCAGGGCAGCCTCCCCATGGGCAAGAAGGTCCATCACCAGTGAGGTCCGCCCTGCATACTCAGCCGTCTGCTCCGCTGTCTGCTCCTGCTGGTTCCGATAGACGAACACAGACTCTGTGAGCGTGGTACGGAACCACCTCAGCTCCATGTTTCTCACATCCATGGCTGGGGACATGATGCAGGGCAGTATAGCATCGCCACCCAGCACTGCCACAATGGGTTCTGGGGGCCCGAGCACCTGGAACTCCTCTGTGGACACAGACAAAGCTGTGAGAATGCTGGGGACACACAGGCCAAAGGCCAAAGGCCACACACCACCAGGTGGGAAAGCCAGGCAAGCAGGGGTGAGGGCTGGATGAGCAGACCGCTGAGGTCTGATGGACTGAGCTGTGATGACTCTAACAGCAATATTGTCCTCTGACCATCAGGATGTGACCCAGAAACATGACCAAGAGTCTTCTTCTTCAGCCTGTGCTCCTGACTTCCATAAATAATTCTCTAACTCGGGGATCCCAAAAGGGAGCCCACACTTCATCACCAGGATGCCCTGGAGAACAGAATAGTGGACTCCATGCCCAATTTTCTGGGGTGGATGCCAGAACGTTCATTCCTTTACTTTATTCTTTAAAGGCCACAGGATGGATGCTGTTGGTCCAGGGGCCACACACTGAGAGCCCCACCTCCGCCTGGCCTGTGTCAGGACAAACCTGAAACCAGCCACAGAGCACACCAAGGCCTTCGTGGGTGAGCACACTTGGATAATTTAACCACACCAGGAAATTCCCCACTTCCCATACTAGATTGGTTGCGTCCATTCAGATTTCTCCTTCACTGAAGTATATGCACATGTTCAAACACAGGGTCAAAGGCTGCATCTGTGAAATTCCCGCTCTCATGACTCACAGCACCCCTGTGACCTCACACTCAAGAGGAGTGCTGGGCCCTCCGTCCTACCCAGCAGAGACCTTAGCTTTCCAGGGACTAGCAGCCATGGGCATTGGAAGAGCCACTTCTCACCCCCGGTGCTCTCTGACCTGGAGCCCAGCACCCTCACTCTGTTCTGGGCAAAAGAGCGAACTGAAACCCCTTCTGTCCTCTCCCAACTTCCACCTCTGTGATTCTTTTAATAAACAGGCTAAGCCTGTCCCTACTCTGCTCAATGCCCTCCTGGCCCTCCCCAACTTTCCCAAGAAGCCCTTAGCCCAACAGAGTGGGCCCCCTTTTCCCCCCTGTACTCTTCTGCACCCCTGGCTAGCTCTGCCCAGCCAACCCTTGCCTGTGCTTCTCCCAGGCACTGAGGAACCGTCCTCCCTGGCAGGTGCTCAGGCCCAGCTCTCCCCTCCAGGGCTGCACCCTGGCTACTCTGTGGCCTCATCAAGCATGCTGCTGCCGCACAGGCCCATCTCCCACTCCCCTCACACCACAGGCCCGTCCGTGTCCCTCCACCCTGTCTGTGTGCTGTAATTCGTGTTCACCATGTCTTTCTAGGAGGTTAAGTTTATAATAATAGACAGTCCTTCTCATTTGTTTATCTAACAAATATGTATTTATACCTAACACCCAACAGTGACAATACTACATTAATATCTGGGGAACAGAATGGATGGACGGATGTTTACAACCCAACAAGCGGAGAAATAAAGGTAAGGGGAAATGTTCATACTTTATTGGTGCTCTGCTTCTTAAATAAAGAAAAGCTGGTCTTTGGACAACTGGCAAGATCCTATGTTTTTAAAAACTCCTAAGCTCTTATTTTATGGTTTAGTACACAATCCATTTTAATTTTTAATTAAATTAGTGATGGGGAAATGTGATCCTTTTGGAGCCAGAGATTCCACAAATCGCATCGAATCCCGACCAAGTGTTGCCACCCTGACAGGAGAGACACGGGGACCCACGCACCTGTGGATGCCCAGTTAGGGAGCTGGACAAGGAGAAGCAGGGACAGGAGGTGGCAGAGCCGGCAGCAGCTGCAGGAATCCTCCATGGCTCAGACCCCAGGGGAGACACCCTGGGAAGGCCCTGACCACCAGGCAGGAGGAGGCAGGAGGCAGATCCAAGCCAGGTCCCCGAGGCCTCAGAGGAAAGAGCCGATCTCAGGGCTGCCGTCAGCTCCCTGCAAGAGCACAGCATTCCTGTGGGCTCAGGGTGCTACAGGGCTGTGGGCCCACAACAGTCCTGACCCCTGAAAACAGCCGAACGCGGCTCCTCTCACCCCTTCAGGGAAGGCAGTGGTGTGAGGGAGCCATCCTGACGGCCATCAAAGGGGGCTGCCTTCTACTGTCACCCCCCTGCACCCACAGTGCAGCCCAGGTCTTCCAGGAGACCAGGCCCCTCTCTCCTGTACACCTGGATCTCTGTGGTGGAACCCTCCCTCCATCTGCGCTTTCACACACACCATCTGTGATCTCAGGACAGAAGCCCCCACAGTGCAAATGCATTTACCACCTGTGGGAGGGCTGTAGGGCACTCCCTGACTGTGACCAGTATCACCTGGAAGCATTAGCCCCTGTGAGTTCTTCACCCAAGTTCCTCCATGCTATGAGCCCAGGACATGGCCCCACCCGGTGGACACATGGAGAAGATAAAGAGCCCTGGCTGGAGAAAAGATTCCCAAACCACCTACTGTGGAAGGAGGAGAAGCCCGCCTGGGGTCATCGGAAGGAAAAACACTAGAGAATGGCCAGGGCGGCCCTCCAGGCTGGGCCTCTCAGCGTGACCTTCCCCACCTAGGCTGACTCATCTGCACAGTGGCCATGGTTTCAGTTTCTCTCTGACAAGCTGGTAATGAGGAGGACATGAATCTGTATTTGTAGTCACTATGTGTAACTAGACGGGGCCTGGTCCCAGAAAATGCTATGGAAATATTGTTAAAGCATGTGACTAAGACGTGGCCCTCACCAGCTGTGCTGGGCATTTCCAGAACAAGACCATTCAAGCGGCCTGCTCCCACTGTCCCCAACCCCACCATATCCTCCTCCTCTTTTTCCTCCTTCTCCCCCACCTCCTCCTGCCAGCTGGTTTCTGGTTTCCTTCTCCTGGCCCACTGGTGTTTTCAAAGCCAGCTTACCTGCTTCTCTTTGCTCCCAGCTTGGGAAGGCTGTGACTTCTCAAAACACAGCAGTTAGCAGCCTTCAGAGCCTCATGAGCCCTAACCAAGCTCCACCTTACCCTTGGAGTTGGCACTGGTCCCCAGCTGTTCTCAGGGCCCCAGCCCCTGCTTCTGGCTCCAATGCTGGGGACCCAGGTGGATCCCAGAAAAGCAGACAGGAGGCAGAGCCTCTGCAGAGACTCTTACACTGCGTCCCCAGCGGGCCCTCCTGTTAGCAGAGCAGCCACTCTGCGCTCCTCACGCCCAAAGTGAAAGCTTCCAGAGCAGCATGGGCAGGGTGTGCCCTGCCCTCTGGACATCGATCCCTTATCAGAAAGTAAAGAGCACAATCAAAGAGCCCAGCACCCTCAAAGCATCAAAAGAAGGCATCCAAAGTTCCCCTGACCACTGAAGGACGCTCCACTTAAACATGAAATGTCCTGCAACCCCTAAGGCCACCAGCAATTCCTCACTAAAAGAGGACCCCTCAAGGCCCAAAGACATTAGGGAAAGTTTATGAAAAGACAAAGAAAATTTTATTTATGCTCCAGTAAGTTTCTGGTACTGAACTATATTAATTCAGTTTACGCCATTGTCATGACTACAAGCAGAAATAAGTCTTGGGCCCTGACAATGAAAACATGAATCCAGGCACTGCCCCAGTGAAGGAGGAGGGTCCTGCTCTGCCTGGAGTCGTGTGCTCCAAACCCAGCCCAGCTCCAGAGAACTGAAAGGGAGCAAAAGCCTGCAGGGGACCTTGGACTCTCAGGTGCCTGGATTGTGCAATAGTCATAAAACTTATCTCACCCTGATTTGCAGCCCTTTGCCTTCCATATTGGCAGGAGGGGCCAGGAGGCAATGACACTTCAAGGACACCACAGGACACTGGACCAGCACAGCAGAGGATATGAACAGTGATGTCAGGGTCTCCGTCCAGCCACTCACTAAGCCGGGAATGATTTCTCGCGGCTAACACAAAACTGGTGCAGCGCTAATGGAGTGAGCAGTTTACTTCCCTTTACAGTAGACATGCAGAGGTTCTTACCGTTTCCTCTTTCAGGTAATGGCTACACAGGTTCCGATCAATGCTTTGGCCACAAAACAATAGTTAATATAAATTTAGGGATGTTTCAGGGATCCTAAATTGTGACAGGTGATATAAAGTAGTCGATCTTCTTCTTAAATATGCAATCCTTTGAAAGTTTTTATTTATTTGTTTGTTTGGTTGTTTATTATTTTGAAAGTAGTAAAACACAACAGAACAAGACAGAGTAGAGCCAAGTGAGACCGTGTAGTGAAATTGATACAGCACTTCACAGCAGGTTTATCTCCTTATCTTCACAATAGTTCGTCTTTCAATCATGTATAGCAAAATAAAATGAAGTACACAACATTATATAACTTATCAAAACAGAATATTGAATAGAACAGTATCGTTAATCAGAATAAAGCAAAACAGTAGTAAAAATATTTGCCTTCAAAAAGATGACAGAAGGCAATCCCCTGTATTTACTATGCTGCATATGGTCAACCTCCCAAGAGATGCTCAGATCTCTGGTTCCCATTTGCTAAAAGGGGGCTGGGGAAGTGGGATGCCTGACTCTAAGCCCGTGCTCCGGTAGGCTTACTATTGTTTAGCAGGGAGGCAGTCTGGTTACTTGGTTTCCCAGCGCCCTGAGTTCCAACATGCTGCAGATCTCAGGAGATGCTAGTGGTTCTCCCCCTGGGACGGCTGCAGCCCCTTTGAAAGTTTTGGTTTCATTGTTTTCATTTTAAAGGGAGTGAAACAGGACAGTAAAACAAACAGTAACAGGACAGTAGGAAATCCACAATCCTTACCACACTGCATATGGGGGGGGCACGTGTGTGTGGGTCTCGCTATGCAGTTCGCGCTGGCCTTGAGCTCACTTTGTAGCCCAGGCTGCTCTTGAACTCCTCCTGCCTCAGCCTCCTGAGTGCTGGGATGACAGCCACCATGCCAGGCTTTTACATTGCGTATTGTTATCCTCTAACTAGTTGCCAGACCACTGGCCCCAGGCCTGCAAAGTCAGTCAGAAAACATAAATATCAGGTCCCTTCCCTACTTCAGGTATTATCATCCAGCCTGTGTGGCCTCCAGCTGTTTACGGGGATGGAGGCAACGGAGGCAGAGGCGCTTCCCTGCTGCTTCTCCCCTTTTGCAGGTCTGCCGCCCCTGGTATTCTTATTTTTGCTGGATTCCTGGATTCTCTCCCTCCCTGAGCTTCAAGTCTCAGTTCAGACCCTTCCTGTGTCCAGGGGACCCCTCTCTCCTCCTGCTCTTCCTCCTTTGCTGTATTCCAGGGTCTGGACACCAACACTTGGAGAGGTTCTTTCCCTGCTGCTCACTGCTCCACCAGGTTCCCAAAACTCTAGGTTTGATTTTTGAGACCGGGTCTCTAAATTGCCCAAGTTGGGCTGGAATTTGCAGTCTTCCTGCCTCAGCCTCCCAGGCCTCTGCCATCACAGGCGTGCACCACCACGACAGGCTTACCCTGAACCTTTTAGATTTTATCCCCTTCATGGTGAGAACAGAAACTCCACTTTGGGTACCAGAAACAGCATCCAAAGTTACAGAGCCACGTGGACAGACAGGAGCAGGGCTGCCCAAGGCACAGCTCAGGTCTATAAGGCCACCGACTTGGGGACACCTGCATTGGGGACACCCCAGGAATCTGGGGGACAGCAGGGCAGCAGGATCTTCTAATACAGAACTTTTCTTCTTGTCTCTTTCAAAAGCTGTTCATTTGCACTAAATTATGTGATGCTCGTGCGTTTATGTTTGCTGCATGTTCAAAACACATTGCTGGGGACTTCCGGGAGAACAAGGTGGACAGATAGCAGCAGCTACGGAGGCTCTCCGAGAGACCCAGCTTAGAATCCAGGAATGGTGCGGAGTGAGGAATCCTAACCAAGAGGAGACATGCCCCGCTGACCCAAGAACGAACTGGGCTGAGAGAAACCAACTGGGAATGCAATCCTGGTGCTACAACAGGAACACATAAAGCCTCAGTGTGCAAGCTGGAGCCCGCATCATTGGAAACCACGATTTGGGTTTCCTGCCACGGCGGCTGTGTCTGAATCGGCTCGGCAGGGAGAGAGACGCACGAAAGCTCTGAGAACCGGAATCAGCGAACAGAGTTGAGAGCTGGATGGGCGGGGAGCTGTGCATCGACCTGTGGTGAGTAAGGGAAACTGGGACTCTTCCACAGTCTAGGAGGCTCTAACAGAGGACATTCTGGGACCAGGCAGACTTGCGGGAACAGGGCGCTGTAGTGACTTCAGTCACATATCCCCCTCTCAAGCAGGATTTGTGAGCAGTGCCTAGCTTATGTGACACTGCTGGCTGAGACCCAGTAGGCTAGCACAACCCAGGTCCCAGCACCTAGAGGTGCACCCTAGTGGTGAAGCCTGGAGGGGCAGGCCCCACATAGGCTGCCTGGTCCATAACTCCCTGGTGCGCTGCGGTGGACGGGAACACCTAGCCGGCGCAATTCAATCAGACTGTGGCCTACAGGGAAGGAAGCTGGGCCTCCTATATACACTTGCTTATATAAGGAACAAAGAATATGGGAAGAGGGAGCAACAAGAAAGGCTCCTCGGCCCCCAATCCTGAGAAACAGGCAATAGCAGACACAGTACCAATAGATATAAAGCATTATCTCCAGAGCCTCATACACAAGTTCAGGAATGAAGTTATTAATGACCTGAAGCAAGACATAAGCACAATAGTTAGAGAAATGCTAAGCACCACCCAAGAAAAAGCAGATGGTGGAATGGAAGAACAGAAAAAAAGGGGAGGGGGATGGGGATTTAGCTCAGCTGCATAAGCACCTGCCTTGCAAACAGGCAGTCGTGAGTTTGATCCCTGGTACCGATAAAAAGGAAAAAGGACCAAAAAAAGGGAGGAGAATTGTTTGATAGAGAAAACATAGAATACATGAAGCAGGTTCAAAGAGAATACCAGGAAACTAAAAACTCAATCAAAAACTGGCATAACAGCTTGAAAGAAACTAAGGATTGATTATCTGAACTGGATGGCAGATTTGTAATATGGGAGCATGAAATGAAAAACTTCTTAAAAATAATAAAGAAACAAACAGACATAATACAAAGACAAGAAGATGATAAGAGGATCTATAACTTAAGAAGAGGTAGGGACACAAACAAATGAACTACAAAAGCTACTTGCAGAAATAATCCAGGAGAATTTTCCAAATTTAGCAAAAGGTAAAGATACTCAGATGTATGAAGCATACAGGACCCCAGCCACCTACAACCCAAACAGAGCAACACCCAGACATGTAATAATTAAAATTCCAGTAATCCAGTACAAGAACAGAATATTAAAAGCCATCAGAGACAAGAAACAGATCACTTACAAGGGAACACCCATCAGAATTACAGCAGATTTCTCTGCACAAACCATCAAATCACGAAGAGCATGGGGGGAAATAATTCAAGCTTTGAAAGATAATAACCTCCAGCCAAGATTGAGATATCCTGCACAACTATCCCTGGAAATTGATGGAAAAACAAAGTGCTTTCAGGATAAAGAGGAACTAGGGGAATATGCAACCACCAATTCAACTCTACAGAGAATACTGCAGGATATTCTAAAAAGAAAAATATGAAGAATCCAGAAATAGTGGCAGAGAGGCCACAATGAATGGAGCAGAAAACAAAATGAAGAAGACAAACTGACAACTAATGACAGAAAAAGAGCTCAAGAGAAATGAGGCAGAGAAGATTGGATGATAGGAACAGCTATTTTGGACAAAACAACGTCATAATAGGTAGTGCTGATTTGGGATCATCTTGTTTTGAAGTCCCATCAAGCTTTTGTTCTTCTGTCTCCATAGGTCTTAACATGTTGTATCTTATTGGATTTTATTATATAAAATAATATGTGATAGTATAAACAAATAATAAAAATATGTGATAGTATAAACAAAAACTTTTATAGACAAGGAGATTATACAGAAACCATAGTTCATTATCTGTTAGTTGATTCTAAATACCCCGTAATACTGTCATTCTCTTGAATTGTTTTGATATATTTGATGCTAAAATATACGAAGTTATACTCAAAGATTTCAAGGAAAGAGACATTATGGTAACTACTTTTATGTCGGGATTATCTTGTGGTGAAACACCATTTTGCTTAAATAGTTATGTTTTGATCTGCACTGTTTTGTTGTTATGCCCTCTTTTATCTCAATCTCCATTTTATTATTTACTTTTTTATTTTTATCCTTTTAAGTAAGGGGAAAATAAATTTTAAAAATAGCAGGATATATTATAGTAACCCACTTTGATTTTC